TAATAGGGATCCCAAAAAGGGACCATAACTTTGACAACCGCCCATATGGTGATTAGGGTTTTTACGTGTTGAGGGTTCAGGGTTTTAGGGATTCGGAGTTCAGGGTTTAAGGATTTGGGGGTTTAGGGTCTGAGGCTTAGGGGCTTAGGGTCTAAGGCTTATGGTTTCGCGTGTAAGGGTTAAGGTAAGGGGTCAAATGGCTTGGAGTGCATGGGCTTGGTGCTCAGCAGCAAGAGGTCTCGAAGACTTCAGGAGGTGTAACATGCGCATGACCAGTGATTGTTGCCCTACTTGGAGGGTCAGGCGGACTTAGTAAGTAGGTCAATAACCCCTATAACCCATATAGTAACCCTAGTTATCCCCCTTATGAACCTACTTACTAATCCTGTATTCACGACCTTCAAGGGCAGAGCTCAGGGACTCTAAACGGCTCTGACCGGAGCTTTGGCTTTACTAGTAGACCATAGACCCAAAAACCTGCTACACGCTAGCCTCAAAACCCAAACCTTAAGCCCTGAGCAATACAAGCCCTGAATCTTAAGCCCTAATCTGTAATCCGTAAACTTAAACCTTACGTACACACCCCAAATCATAAACTCTCAGCGTTGCAGGCAGCTGGCTGAAATCCGACAGACAGCCACCGCTCCACGTCGGCTACCTCTAGAGGGGTTGCTTACTGGTGGTTTGTTAGGGGTTTAGGGATTGGCCTTGCTAGGTTTTAGGGTTTGGGGTGGGCTTTAAGATTTGGGGTTTGATGTTTAGGGTTTCATGATTTGGGGTTGGGGTGTTACGGGAATGCAGGAACATGGATTATGGAGACAACTATACGGGAAAATAGAAGGACGTGACTAACTACTACGGGAATCCATTCCTTGTTTTGCTGCTAACCACCACGACGCTTGCTAGGTAGGATTTAAGGCTAGGAAACCTTCAGGGCAAGGAATCCTTGGGGCCTGTCGTCCATAACCGGGCTGCATGAAGAATACTTGAAGCACGCTCGGGGAACTGCAACTACCGTTTGGATACGTACCGTTGGAGCCACCATCTTTACAACACGAGTTGCAGACGGAGGGTAGCACCCCTCTAGAGCCTGCAGATACCGAGCGTGCAGGCTTGCTGCGTTCACACTTCAAAGGCTTCTGTCTTAGGACTTGAGACTGAAAACTTTTGGCTCCAGAGGGTCAGATTCAGCGCGCAGCTGCCAGTGTCACGGGAGGCCAACTTCAGATTAGGGCAGCGCGAATGCACATCAGCAAGTAGTGAATTTTCAGGACGCACGCGGAAGAATTCAAGTGTGTGTGTGTGTGTGCGTGGGTGTGTGTGTGTGTGTGTACAACCCTGTGATCCAAGGGAGAACGTTTTTTCCACGTTTCTATGTTCACATGTTTACAAGCAGGGGGCAGAGGCGCCCATACAGACTCCTCTGCTAACAAAGCTGGTCTGTAT